GACCATGACTCACCAATCAGGATGAGACGAGTGGTTTGGAAGATTCTCTCATCATCCCAGTCAGGATGTTCCTGCTTCATGATGTCACAGACACGGTTGTGCTCACGGAGCCAAATGGTAGCATACATTATCAAACCTGGAACCAGACCAAAGGCCTCATGGCCCACAGCAAATTTCTGCTCTTCCGGGATATGAGGAGGGTAGTGCATCTCCACCTGGACGTCCTTCACAAGCGGAGGGTACACCTCACCATCCACAACCTGAAGGAGAAAATATGTTCATGATTACCTAGGTGTCTTACATTGATCCAATAAGCAATACTTAAGGCATTTTTAAGGCTAAATGTTCTGTTTTAGGCGATCAGGGGTGTCAAGTCCTGCTCATGTAGGCCTGCATATTTTAGTACACCTGAAGCAGTCAACTAAGGTCTTAACAGGCATACTATAAACCTCCAACCAGGTGTTCTGACTGAGGCATGCTGAAGCTATACACTGCAGGACAGTTGCCCTCAGGGACACCCCTGTACTCTATAGCAGAAAAACAAGAAACACAGCAGGTGTGTGTAATCCTGCTCCTGGAGCAATGGCCCACAGATTTTAGCCCCAACTAGTAATTAGTGGTTTCAAGTGTATGTAATTAAAGGGACAGTTCACAAAAAAATGAAAAGTGTGTCATCACTCTTCAATTTTCACAAATCTGTTAGTTTTATTGAACACAAACAAAGAATATTTGGAAAAATATTAAAATCTGGTAATATTATTACCAAGTTACCATTAACTTTTATAGTATATGTGTTTCCTACCATGGAAGTCAATATACTGTAAAAAAATCATGGTTGCCTTCAAATTTTAAGTCCATTGAACTTATATTATGCTAAACTGACCTAAAACAGCTTGTGTAACTTATAAAATTAAGTTAGAGCATGATTAACTTAGTTTAATAAGTTACAATGACTTAAAAACATATGCTGTCAGGACTAATTGATCAAATAATTTTTACAGTGTAGACCAATTTCTAACATTCTTCAAAATATCTTACTTTGTGTTCAACATAGTGAGTAAATAGTGAGTAAAATTTTATTTTAGGTATGACCTAAAACCTCCAGGAACGGGTTTGAATAACCTTGTCACATATGTTTAAAACAATTAAACCAATAGGAGGATTACAATTAAAACAATAGGAGGGTTAGAATTACAATTTTTGTAGTGAACTATCCCCGGGGTACAAATTACGGGAGGGTTTTGAGGGGGGATTGACCCTCCTAATTAACGCTCGATCCCCCTGAAGGACATAAAAACAAAATGTATGGGGGTCAGCCCTTTAATAGTAAAAAAAATAACTTTCGCTGATCTCTAATTTATATCTTAAATATTTATAATTAAAAATTTATGAAAATAAATATACATTTGAGCCCCCATAATGTTTTATACCCATGTAAATGCATAATCATGCCAATTGAAAGACATCTTAAGTATTCAAAAAACACATTTCTTGTAACGCAGGTGTTTATATCTGCATGTAGAAAAAAAAAGAAAAATTGGACACATAATTTGAATAGTTTAACTGACAGTAACCTCTAAAATAGTCACTAAATATCCCTCAAAACACTGAAAATGTACACATTTTAATAAATAAGATGTAATTTAAATACATTCATAAATTTGATTCACTGAAGCACGTATTCCCAAACTACTACTGAAAAAGTTGACCCCTCCGAACGTCAACGTATAAATCGCACCCTGACAATCCCTTTAGGTGCAGTTTAATATCCATTATTCACATTATAGCACAAACCTGGTATTTAAGCTTTCCATCTTTAAACAGACGAAGTTTGTGTTGAACCTCCAGCGTCTCTCCATAAATATGCCCCAGATCCACCTAAAACACGACAGAATCTTTAGCATATGACCTGCAGTCTTGTATGCACTTTGAATCAGATGTAAATTTGAATGCCACTTACTCCATGACCCAGGGCTTTGGTGAAGGCTGGTCCCTTTTTAAAGTCCGACTTGAAGAACTGGTGAGAGAAATGCTGGGCGAAGAAAGCAAACATGAGACTGCTCCTCTGTGGATCAGGGATGAACTGCTTCCTCAACAGCACCTGCTCCACCACCTGCTTGGCATTTGGGAGATCAGGCGTTGGGCAGTTTTGGGGCAACGGGGCAAGGGTGCGGGTGTAATAGGACAAATTAGAGTACGCTTCCCAGCTTTTGTAGCCATAATCAGCATTGTACGTCGGTGGACTTTCAACCAAATGGGACCTTGCTGTAAAACAAGAAAAACAGTTTAATTTTATGCGGATTTCTATGCTTTTTAAAAACAATTACGTACAATTTTGTTGGAAATCCAATGCAGAAGTGATTTCATTCAACTTACACAACAGGATATAGCGCATTATGCCATCCCTCAGGTAAGAGATGCTGTTGATGATATCCCAGATTGATTTATAATGTGTTAAAATATGATGCACTACATTTGGTCTTGGTTTCAGAGCTGATTTGATGCGTGTGAGAAGCTCAGCTGTAAGGGAGAAAAAAAACAGTGTTGACTTCTGTGTAAAGTTTGCATTAATGTAAAGAAACCCATGGCTGAACTTACGGGTAGTGCAGTTTTCACCATAATATCCTGTCCTGGTGCAGTCACATTCATAAGCATCAGCTCCCTTGGATAAACACACGCCCTGGTTTTGGCAAGGCTGTGCACAGCAAGGGTCGTCTGCAAATAAAAAAGCCATAAAGGAAAATTGAATGTTTGTCCCAGGCATTATTAGACTGCATTTGAGTAGAACAATTCACAGAAGCAGGTCTGTCTAACAGAGTAAATTTGTTTTAACTTACATCCTTCACCAGGAAAGATCCAAATGCTTGAAAGTAGGACCAAGCAAACCAGTTTATTCATTCCAGAAGTGTTATTATCTAGAGGCTGTTGAAGCAGAGATGCGTTACTCTGGTCGAGCCCGTTGTATTCTGAGTGCCTGCATGCGATTCGGAGCCTTTTAACTGCTGCAGGAGGAGGAGGTCTTGCGCAAAACGAGCTTAAAAAAATGGAAGTTATGTAAGCTACGTCATCATCCGACTGCATTTTTCCACACAGTGATTTATATTCATGAATCCGGAAATGTATGTATAAATGAATCGAATCACTCTTAAAATGTTTACCCTGAAAAAAAAAACTATATAACAAAATATAAATAAATATAAATAAACTACATGCAATTATGTTTTTCTTCGCAACTAGCGTATTTGTGTAAAAGACAAGATTAAATGTATGAGATATTAAACTTAAAAATGATACAGGCCTATATATTGCACAGATTAGCCTAAAAAACATATTGAAGAATGCTTTTTTTTTTTTTGTAAAGATAACGTAAAAAATAAATATGGGTGAAATAATAATATTCCACGTTTATTTTTTGTAGGCTATTATTGTTTTAAACAACTTTCTGGATTGAATCTATGAAAAGAAAATGTCTTTAATTACCTGCTGACATTTTTGAAAACCAATAAAGACAATATAGGCTAATATGTAATAATATATCATATAGTTAAAAACGTTTCGAATACAAATGGCTCATTTTATTAGATATTCGTAATCCTATGTACTGATAAAGTCAAACTTATTTAAGGCTTCTTTATTTTATTATTATTTATTTATTTATTTATTTATTTATTTATTTATTTATTTATTTATTTATTTATTTATTTATTTATTTATTTATTATTGGAAATACAAAATCTAAATACAACAAAATGGCATTCAACTCTACAAATTGTGTATCACACAAGGAAGGCTCAACTCAAAATAATATACCAAAATACAAAAAAATGTGATTTACAAAAAACATTCAAACTAAAATAAAATTAAGAGTGGAAAAAAACATTAAATAAATCAATATAAAACAGAATCGGCTATAATTTAAGCATTTTAAGGAAATTTTTGCTTTCATTTTAGCCAGTGAATCCAAACAGATTTTAAGTATTTTTATACATACAATGAGTGGTGGATGTGTTTGGAAATATCTGCATTTATGAACAAAATATTTGGCTAATACAATGATCATATTTATCAAATCATGCAAAAACACAGAAATATTTAGTAAATCCATATAGTACATCTTGTGAAAGTCAAACCTTCAGCATTCACATTCTTTATTATCCACCAGTCTTGCACTTTTTTCCAAAATGATTGAACAGAGCTGCAAGTAAAAAATATGAGTTCTGTGTCTTCAGTTAAGTTTAAATAAATTTTCAACATTTAATTTCAAGTTTAAAAACCTATTAGAAGGGTATACATCATTTTATATTATAAATTGTACCTCTTTTGCCTTGGGGAGTAAAGGATGTAGGTGCAGAGCACTGGCATTCCAATAATCATCTTATTTTAGCTCATGAGCGCCACCTAGTGGCACACAAAGTGCTTCTATTTTTGCATTTAATCGCAGTAGGCTATTGCAAGAATTCTGCATTTACACTCTATAAATTAATTAATACTATAATTCTAACTACTTCAGAAAAGTCACACACTGTCACACACGATATTCTTTGAGAACAAGGGAAATATAGGAAAAACAACAATATAGCGCTGAACTAGGCTAATTCCCAGTGGTGTCCATGTGAAAAACGAATTGGAGAGTTTGAGTACGCCCAAAAGTCGACTGATTTTTGCGAATCGATTCATTTGAACGATTCGCTTTAACGGACTGGTTCAAGAGTTAACGTAAGTCTGTATCAGGTGTTGACATTGAACATTTGTATTTAAAAAGAGCCATGTCGACTTAACATATTCTAAATAGAAATGTCTCCACTTGTTTGAAAAAAAACGTAGTTTAAAATGTTGCTATGTTTATGGTTTCAAAACTTCGCCTAGTATGCTGTCTCGCACACTCAGATGATTTATCATTTGAATCGGTTCGACTGAATCATTTAACCGAACCATCTCAAATGAACGATTCGTTTTTAGTCCGCCCTGAAACGCGCATTCCTCTCGGCTTCCTGAAATGACTTTCTTGTCGGAGAGGGTCTAACATCACTGTACCACTAGATATGGTGAGCTCGTACATGTTTAATTCCTCTAAAGCCGTCAAACTGTGAGCGTCTACGAGTCTGTATGACTTATGCAACAAAACTCTGCTCCGACACTTTGTATCTACATTTCTTCTGAGCTGAGGGCGAACTTGTGGGTCTCAAGACGTTGAACTCTGCATTTCGCATTTCAACCGCTTGTGCGCAGACAGTCTTTTTTTCTTCCTCATTTTTTTGTATTGTTTAATTTGACAGATGATCTCCAGACTGCCTTGAAATAAGGTGCCATCCTGACCTCCAAACTGCTGGCTGCCACAATGTCCAACATTATAGTAAGTGACGCTTTAAACTTCAAGTAAACGAGAACCCTGTTTCTTTAAAGATTTGTATCACTACTTTGATATGTTTTTTTAAAGGCCAATATCACAGCATATATCAATATGTATTAACATGTAGTCTGTAATGAATGTATGAAATGAGAAACAATAAAGCTGCTGTTCTTTTTCTGCTGTCTAAATTATTTGCATGTATTCATAAGACACGTCTCCTGTTTAGATATTATTCTGTTTGGGAAACACCTGTTGTTCATTTCCTACTTCTGTAATTAAATGAGCTTCCTTTATGAAGAGATGCACCTTTTACTGCATTTAAAACCCTGAACTTATGGTTCATTATATGTTCAGGTTGAGCATCAGTATTCTCATAGACTGAAATTGACTGTGGTGAGAGCTGAAAATGTAACTAAAGGAGCATTTGGGGATTTATGTGAGTATACATGTTCTTATATGAGTGTTCTTGCAATTTGGAGAAACCCTCTAATGATTCAGTGATTGTTTGTTTGTACACAGTGGACACCCCGGACCCTTATGTTGAGCTGTCAGTGCCAACCACACCAGAGTCAAGAAAACGAACCCGCCACATTAACAATGACATTAACCCCAAGTGGAACGAAACCTTTGAGTTCATATTGGATCCCAATCAATCCAATGTTTTAGAGGTGATTTTTTTTTACTCAAATTACTTTTGGAGTGTTTTTATTTATAGCCTATTAGATACATTAACTTTTTTCAAGGATTCATATTGTCAAAATCATATTTCAAGGCTTTATATTGTCTATTTTAAAAATACTGTATTCAGTACCATGCTTAGACTCAATATATTAGTCCTTGAGAAAAAAAAAATAAAATACAAGAATGTGTCAATATTACATTAACTGGAATTTATAGATATATGTTTGAATAAAACTATTTTTGTTTTATTCTGTACATTACTGGCAATGTTTCTTCTAAAATAAATATAATTAATGTAATTTACTGCTTTGTTTTTTTTTTTTCATAAATAGCATCAAGGTGCATTTTTTGACATTTAGATGATGAGATAACAACAATTTCTAATCATTTTTAATCCCAGAAGGGTTAAGAAAGCAATATTTTGTAGAAAAAACATGATTTATTATGTATATATAAATCATATGCATACATACATTACAAAAAACATTTAATTATAGGTTTAAATGTACATATGAAGACTTCAGATGCAAAAACCTCTAAATGCTATCTGAAATTTTCTCCTAAAATGAGCCTTTTTCTCAGCCTCCTATGTTTATGTTAAGTTATTTCACTTTAAAGGGAATGAAAAGAACTTATTCGTCATTAGAAAAGTAACATTTCTAAACCTACACAAGAGTTGTAGAAAATTGCAAATTTTAGAAGGAAATATTAAGCAGCAAAGCATTTAGAGGTATATATATATATATATATATATATATATATATATATATATATATATATATATATATATATATATATATATATATATATATATATATAGTAAAGTACAAAGTATAGTAAAGTACAAAGTACTAGCAAAGTACACATGCATATATTATGTACATTTATTTTTGGTATTGATTAACACTGATTAATTTTTTGACAGCAATTTATCAAATCTATTTTTTTCCTTTTTATTAAATAAATGCACCCTTACTGAGACTTCTCTCAAAAACATTAAAGCATCTTACCAACCCTAAGCTTTTGTATGGTGGCCTACTGTGTATCTATTGTTTTATTATTTTAAACTATAAAGCGTCTATTTGGACATGCTTTGTTTTAAAACTGTGCGTATGCTGTAATGTATTATACTGCATTATATAACATGTGAGCACTGTAGGATAATGCTGCTTGAATGCTCTTTATTCAGGTGACACTGATGGATGCCAATTATGTCATGGATGAAACTCTTGGCACAGCAAAATATTCCCTCTCAAAACTCAAAGTGGCACAAATGGAGCATGTGACCCTCTCTATCGGCAAGGTAAATTCTAAAAGGGAATTCATTTTTGTTTATGTCCTGAGCTCTTTGTTAAAAAGAAGAATACGTTAATGTCATGGTTACTGATTTCCAGTGTTTATTTGTGTTTTTTATTCTTGCCAGACAACCAAAGTGTTCCTCGACTTGCTCTTGGAAGTTTGGTATGTATAAAGAAATGTTTATTTTCACACATTTCACATATTATATACACAGGTTTATGATTAAATGTCCTATTTTTGATGTCTGCATCAAGGTGTATTTACAAAAGTCATAGGTGTAAATTCATGATAAATAGCTGAATAAGCTTTTTGTTGATTTATGGTCAGGATAGGAAAATATTTGGCAGAGATTCAACTACTTGAAAATCTGGGATCTGAAGGTTAAAACAAATTTTAATATTGAAAAAATTACTGGTAAAGTTGTCTAAATCAAGTCAAAAGTAAAAGCAATCCATGTTACAAAAATTATTTATTATTATTTATTTATTAAAAACAAGGGAAGCTTTTATATTTTTACAGTTAGAAAATTACAAAATGTCTTCATGGAAGACATGGACCTTGATCTTTACCTAATATTCAAATTATTTTTTTATCAAATGAAGTCAAATGAAGTCAAATTTTAAAAAATAAATCTACACCATGATGGCTAGTCTTTTAATGACTAATTCAATTATTTATGATTAAACATGATTGACAATATTTTTGGAATTGAACTTATTGTTATACTAAAAGACATTTTAGTCTTTTGTCTATTGTAAGTCATAGTAGAAATGCACAATTATTTTTATGCATGTACTGTACACTCAACAATTATTTTTGTTGCTTGTGCAAATTACTTATGTATGTTTATTGGGACAAATTAATTATTTTAAGTTCAAATTTGTAAAAAAAAAATAATAATTCCATCTATCTATCTAACTTTCTATCTATCTATCTATCTATCTATCTATCTATCTATCTATCTATCTATCTATCTATCTATCTATCTATCTATCTATCTATCTATCTATCTATCTATCTATCTATGATTCAAATACATTTGCTCTTGCTCTTTTACTCTTCTGTTTCTCACTCTTTGGTTTATCAGAAAAAATAAATAAGCAAAAGTGAATTGTTTTTGTGCAGCGCATCCACAGACCTGCGCTTCAGCATGACACTGTGTGATCAAGAGAAGCTGTTCATGCAGACACGCAGAGACAGGGTCATGCTCAGCATAAAGAAGCTTCTTAAAATGGAAAACCCTCGTTTCCTTCCATCCTCACCAAGAGAGGTAAAAACAGAAACTACAACAACTGAACTGTGAACTGTGCTTAAAAAGAGCAACAGTTCTACAGATCGTGTCTGATGGCTGCTCTATTTTTCGCTCAGGTTCCCACCATCGCTATTCTGGGCTCTGGAGGAGGTTTTCGTGCAATGGTGGGCTTTTCTGGTGTGATGAAGGCTTTGTATGAATCTGGCGTGTTTGACTGTGCAACATATGTGGCAGGACTTTCAGGATCAACATGGTCAGTAAAAAGTCAAATTAATTTGCATGAAGACATGTTTAAACATCCATTAGATTTAAGGACTTTGCACACTGAAGTTTTTATTCATATCCAAAAAATTCATCACATATACAAACCTTGCACACTGAGTCCAATGCATATTAATTAATCCATTACGAAAAAATGCTAAACATTTTGCAGTCAATTCAAGCAGTGATGCTTTGTTTTCCTCTTTCTTCTTCAAAGTAGAAAAAGAAAGAGGAATAGGCTACATATTGTGTTTATCCAATACTGCATCAAGAGGAAGGAAGGAGAGTTCTCCTCTTTATTAAAGAGCTGCGCTGTATTATCCCCAAATGCAAAGTTTATTTCAGGGAATCTGTGGGATGTTGATTCATTGATTGTGATACTTCACACATTTCCGTCCATTAACAAATCCTGAAAAGAGACTGGCAGTACGTCAAACATGTGGAGACACACACTCACACACACACACACCAAACAGCAGCAGAGGATAGGTGCGCCAGCCTCTAAATCCAGCATAGGGGTTCTCATCTGTCTGCTACATCCTGTCTTTATATTATGTTTATATTATGTGCTGTGTTCATCATAAAGTGATCTGTGCTGAAAGCTCAAGCGACGGCATTTTGTATTTTGCCTTTTATTTGTACGGTGGCTATAAACTGTCAAAACACATCTCAAAGCGCTTTTTCAGATGCAAAAAATGAAAAAAATCAAACCCAATTCAAATTTTTTTATGACGGAAAACAGTGTCAGACAGTGTGTCGATACGATTTACACAACGTGAGGACAAATTAGTTTTTTTAACATGCAAAAATTACATGCAAACATTTTAGATTCAGTTTGCAAAACAATTTACACTGAAATTATTATATCTGATGACCCTACAAAGAACCGACAAACCTTCTGTGAGCTCTGAAGTTTAAGTGGAACGATTGTTGAGCTGCTGTTTGAAGAGAATGAAACAGCTTATTTCAGAATTCAAATAAGTTATTATTTTAAAAAATATGTAACAAGAATAAACATATCAGGACTATTCATGGGCCGGTATAAGATTCTGACAGTATGATAACCTTTGATAAAAATATCACGGTTTTACGGTTTGACGGTATTGTGATTACTGCTCTAAAATACATTATTTTTAAATGTCTGAGTAAAAAACAAAAACTTTTTTCTTTTAACACAATACATTTTATTTTGAGAAACATTTAAAATATGTTGGAACAGTAAACATCTCAGGCTAAATAATGAAGATTAATCATTGACTCTGCTGTCTTCATTTGTTTCAAAAACATAAATTTCTTTATGATTTAAAAGGATTTTTTGAATCTTTTTTTCTGCTGGAGATACTGTTTTCTTAAAAAAAAGAAAGTTTGGTGGTTTTAAAACCTTGACTTTTCCACGCCGCAGCATACCATGCTTAATCAGGACTGTAAGGTATCATTCTGTTTAAATTTTTTCACCTCAATGCAAAACCTAAGATTACCAATGACAAAGTTTAAATCTTCCTCTTCAATGAGCTTATCTATATCTATCATCATATATCAAAACAATTACGCTAAAAAGAAATATTTTATATTTTTATATTACAGTAGACCCTGAATGTGCGACCTCTGTTTTTCTAGCGTTAATATACCATGCTCAATAAGCACTTTTTTGAGATTTGTAACATTTTAAAAACTGAGCAATACGAAATTGATTGTATGTTTGCCACCAAAATATAAATTATAAATCTAATCCTCATCACTTATTTTATTTGTTTTATTTGAATTCCTTCTTGTGAATTTTGACCCTATGTAACATGCAGTGCTTGATATTAACACTTTGGCTGGTTGAAGATAATTTGTAAATTATAGTTTTTTTTTTTTTTCAATAAAGTTAGAATAGAATAGAGTTCAACAATAAAGGATTGCCCAATGAGGGGTCAGCGTGAGAGATGGCAATAATAATTGTGTTCATTTAAGAAAAAAGAAAGCAGTGATTACAGAAAGAGGATAATCACATGCACGATGAGACACATCTATATCTGACACAGTCCTGACACACTGACGAGGGTTTCAGACTCGAGGTCGATTTCAGCTAATGTGATGCGCGTGAGTGTTTAAAAGTTTAAAAAAGAAATGGTTCCTTACACAAAGCATCCGTGCCTGGAAACGTAACTGGTGCGATCAGTTCTCTTTTAAATAGACCAGACAAAAAAATGACGATCGTGCACCCACAGTCCTGCTGCTTTCAAGAGCTCCAGATTTTTTTAAAAAGGTTACTTTCGCTTTAACCTTTCACAGTATGTTTTACACTTGCTTTCTTTTGCTTTAAGTTATTTTGGGCTAAAAATTTAGTTTATTTTTTTATTTTTGGTGTGGCATGAGAAAAATTTTGTAAATCCTGTTGTTGAGCCCTGAAAAAGTCATGTAAAATAAAAAGTAATTGAAACACAACACTATAAAACCACAACCTATTTGCTCATGCTCATTGAGCAAGGTCATACACACACACACACACACACACACACACACACAATTAGGAGGCATGTGGAAATAACACAACATCTAAATTAAGTAATTTTAGCATGCCAAAGTCAAACTTTTTTAATATAAAATATATTTTCCCAACAACAAAATTGTGGCTAGTGAAAATGGCCACAGTTCACGAACAACGGTGGCTGGAGATCAAAAAAGTTAATGTTTAGCCCTGGTAACATTTTATTTAACAGAATATGTATGGATGTTTTTATGTATCTAACAGATTTACAAAAGCAGATCTAATGAGACTTTTGGAGGGAGTAAGCTTTTTTACCTTATTGTGCTTGTTCAGATTTAATGGTGAACTTCTAAAGCCAGTTATGAAAACTTGTGCATGATGCTTTGTGCGTTAAAACATAGTTGCTGCATGGTTCTTCGCCATATTTAATGGACATAAAATGAAAAAAAAACTTAAATGTAATGACTACTTAAGTTTAAGTGAAATTTGAAGATTAAAAATAACTGCTTTAAAAATAAAAAGTCGACTACACTTGAGACAAGTATGCAAATCCACAAAGAAATAAGTAATTTACACATTTATGTAGATTACCCATGATGCTGCACTTGATGGGAAATCCTACTAATCCGAGAGTTGCATTAAACAAAGTGCGACAAAATATCTCCACCCACTTCCAAATAAAGCACTGCAAAAGACATGATCGAGTCTCAACATTCTCAAAATACTAAAATATTTGTATATATTTGCATATTTTGCAGTACTGGTGAAATGTATTGTTTGTATAGATAAAACCTACAACTTTAAATAGCCTTGTTTCTTGTAAACGTCTATATTGGTTATATTTCCACAGGTATATGTCTATGCTGTACTCTCATCCAGAGTTTCCTGCTAAAGGCCCAGGCGACATTAATAAAGAGCTCATGAACAGAGTCAGTAATAACCCACTCAAACTGCTCCTGCCCCAAAACATCAACCGCTACGTCAAAGCACTGTGGAAGAAGAAATCTGCTGGACAGCCGGTCACCTTCACTGATATCTTCGGGATGTTGATAGGAGAGACGCTTATTCCAGGGGTAAGATGCTGTTTATAAGAATGAAAACTTGTTTATTGGTGAGTAGGACAGGAGGAGGACATCAAAGTGCATAAACTGCTCTGCACTGTACTCTGTTTATGCACTGTAAATCAAACACAAAGACTCCTTTGTATGTTGTCTCTCTATTATGCATTCCTATGCAAATGGAGCCTTCTCTCGGAGAGGATCAGGAACGAAATAGACCCTAAATTTAGGATGTACACTAGTGTTGTGTAATTATTGGATTTAGCAGGGATGCATTAAAATGATCTTATCTTAAAGTACACTAACCTTATATTATACAAAAGATTCATATTTTAAAGACTTTTTTTTGTTTTGTTTTACTCTCTATTTATTATAAGAAATAAATAGAAAGAAAATTAAACTGTTTTTTTTTCATTATTTTCAACATAAAATATAAGTAATTCTTATTACATTATTGCAATGATTTCTAAAGACTATTGTTTAAACGAGTAATGGCTGCTGAAAATCAGATTTACCACCACATAAACTAGACCTAAACCACATTCTAAACCTAATTGTATGGTAGGCACATGCAATTAATTAAGTAACATTACTTAAATTGATTTATTAATATTACTGTATTACTGTAATATTACTGACTATAGCCCCTTTCACACAGTGATACCGGTAAATATCTGGAAAATTTCCGGAATGACTTTACCGGTATATTCAAAAAAGCACTGTTCACACAGGCGAGGACGTTACGGAAATTTTCCGGAAAAGAGCATTCACACATCCATTCCAAAATACCGGTAAATTCTGACATCATTCACCACAAATGAGCTTTAAACGGCTGCGCTTGTATTTGTAAACATTTGACGGCAATTTTCCGGAAAGGTCTGTATGTGTGAAAGGGGCTTATGAATCAATATTCATTCACTTTCCTGCGGCTTAGTCTCTGATTATCAGGGATCACCTAAGTGAAATGAACCACCAACTATTCCAGCATATGTTTTACACAGCGGATGCCTTTTCAGCTGCAACCCATTACTGGGTAACACCTGTACACACTCATTCACACACACTCATCCACTACGGGCAGTTTTGCTTATTCAGTTTACCTATAGCGCCTATCTTTGGACTGTGGTGGAAACCTGAGCACACGAAGGAAACCCATGCCAACACTGGTCCAGCCGGGACTCAAACCAGCAACCTTTTTGCTGTGAGGCAACATTGCTAACTACTAAACCACCATGCCACCCCTTTAATTAATATTCATTCATTCATTCATTTTCTTTTCGACTTAGTCCCTTTATTAATCTGGGGTCGCCACAGCAGAATGAACCGCCAACTTATCCAGCACTGTTTTTACGCAACGGATGCCCTTCCAGCTGCAACCTATTACTGGGAAACCCATACACACTCATGCACACACATAAATACACTACAGACAATTTAGCCTACCCAATTCACCTGTACTGCATGTCTTTAGACCTAAGCACCCAAGGGAATCCCATGCAATTGCAGGGAGAACATGCACACAGAAACGCCAACTGACACAGCCGAGGCTCGAACCATCGACCTTCTTGCTGTGAGGCGACAGCACAACCCACTGCGCCACTGCATCACCATTAATATTAAAAAAATTAATTAATTATTGGTTAAATTTATTGTTACACTGTAACAAGTACACCTTAAAAGAAAGTGTAACCTTAAATTCTGAAGGAATCAGTTTTTTACAACAATTCTGAGTCAATGAGTTATTATTTATTTTAGGAATTATTTTAGTTTCTAAATTAGGGTTGTCCAAACTCGGTCCTGGAGGGCCGGTGTCCTGCAGAGTTTAGCTACAACTTGCTTCAACACACCTGCTTGGAGGTTTCTAGTATATCTAATAAAAGTTTGATAAGCTGGTTCTAAATGAATTTATTTTTAAGTAATTAGCTGCTTTGAGTGGAACTAATGATTCAATGAATTATAAATGAACGTCGATTTGTTATGACTTGCAGTTCTAGTGTTGTATTTATTTATCTGTAACAGGCTTTAAGCAGCCCACACCAAATATTATAGAACTAAAATATTCTAAAATATATCACATTTATTATTATTGCAAGCCCCTTTTGTTAATAATAATTTTGGACTTTAACACACGTTCTGCGCTTGGTTTTTCGATAACAATATTACTTGGCTCTTGGACATGTGTTTCCCAAAAAGGCACATAACATAATGGTGCAAGAACACTTTATTTGTGCTACGTAGGAGTTGCTGTCCATTTCAGAAGTGCTGAAAAATAAACTTATATTGAGTTGTATGCTACATGTTTAACCCAATAACTGTCATCTAATCAATGAATTATCCATTTAAAGCGCTTAAACAACTGGAAAACAGTTAAGTTAAAAAACATGAAGTTATCAACAAAAATAAAAATGCCCAAGACATGGATGGGTACAGACAGATTGACAGGTTTCTTTTTTTTAGTTAATCTCTATTTCCCTATTATCTTCCAGTCTTTCAAACATATTTCATTTTATTTAAATTGCATTCATATCATTTAGATTTGCATTTCTATTTTCGTTAATCTGTTTTGATCATGTCTTTTTTATTATTTCATTTATAAATTAAATATAAAAGAATAATAGTGTCCAGAAAAATTTACATAACTAATTACAATCACACCCCATATGGAAATTTTATATTTCCATATGTTCCTTTCCTTTTATATATTTATATTTTATATATATATATATATATATATATATATATATATATATATATATATATATATATATATATATATAATGATTTTCCTTATATATATTTAATTTATATATGCAAGAACGTATACATTTCAAAATATATATATATATTTTTTTCCATTATTGGAATCTCAAAGGTCATATATGCTTCATATATGTTCAAATATATCAGCTACAGTTTTATATATATGTCCTCATAATTTTGTACTTTTACGATGCAAGTAGGGATTTAACGAGTACTCCAGATCATTTGAAAATCTATGACAATTTTCAAGCACTATTTAAGTTATGATGCTTTTGTGAAACAGTTGTAATATCAAGATCAGTCATGTTTTCTACTTAGCCTTAGGATGCTTTTGGTGAACCCTAAACATTAAAAAAAAAAATTTGATCACCTTTGCTGAGATCAGCACCATGTCACTTACTTTCTCGCAGGGTTTTTAAACTCAGTAATTTTTAAACATATGAGACAATTTTCAATCAAACTTGCATGGTATTGACTTTGTATGTCATCTTCTCATGCAATACTTCATTTCACTTTTATTGTGAATATATTTTTGTTTGTTTGTTTATTTATTTATTTATTTATTTATATAAACTACAGTTTAATTTGTTTATAAATATCCTTTTAACAAACTACTTTAGTTCAGTGATTCAGCAATTCATTCATGAAAACACTTGTTTTTTCTATATTAATCAGCTGCTTTGGATGGATGGATGGATGGATGGATGGATGGATTAATGGATGGATGGATTGATGGATGGATAAAGTTATGCGCTGACGCTGAGCTCCAGCAGTCAGTGGGTGCTTTAAGCACAAAACCCCAGAGAGCAGTGCACGTCGGACAGTTTATCAAGGATGTACTGCTGGACCGCGTCTCACTATAGTTGTTAAAAACGGTAGAAACAGTAGGCTACAAATAATTAATTAATTATTCATAAATAATAATTTATCGCCGCCTACGATGACGATGCAATCCTGCATCGCGATGTTTCACATTAGACATCTTACAATGCTAAATTGGTCAACATCGCCCAACCATGATGACTGGATGGGTGAATGGATGAATGAATGAATGATTCAATGAAATAAAAAAAAGTTTGATCACTAAACAGCATACTGTGTGTGTGTGTGTGTGTGTGTGTGTGTGTGTGTGTGTGTGTGTGTGCGTGTGCGTGTGCGTGTGCGTGTGCATGTGCGTGTGTGTGTGTATGTCTTTTCCTCAGAGAATGGACATTAAGCTGAGTTCATTGAAAGGGAAAATTAATGAAGGTCAGAGCCCTCTTCCTCTCTTCACCTGTCTGCACGTCAAACCTGACGTCTCTGAGCTCATGTTTGCAGGTAAAAGATAACAGTCCACATCAAATTTGTTCTCCTGTTGTTCTCTTGTTCTATCCTGTTGTTCACAAATTGCCACATGTAACGCATATATAACATTACCAAAAACAAAATGTGAAAGACAACTTGTCACAACTTTTAAAACAGTGAAAATGTATATGACAAGCTTATCCTAAGCTCTGTGGAAGGTGAACTCTATTGATTTGTTTATATTTGCTTAATACGCTGGAAAAATGCAAATGTGTGTTATGGGGCCTAATGATTGACCCAGTGGGAAGTCTGTATGAACTCCCACAGCTCATCCCAGATGTAGACACACACTATTTTTAGAGACTAGTCATTGTGTGGGCTGCTTGTTTTTTAGTGAATGAGATCAAAGAATGTGACTAAGCAGATGAAGGTTAAGTGGAAGTTTTTGTCTGTCCAAATGGAGTCACTCACTGTACATTACTCACTCTATTTGCTCACAGTTGCACCACATAGTCAGGTAGCAGTTATTGAGTTTTGGCAGCACCATAATAATATTAGGTCAATGTGACTGTACGAAATTATGAGTCATTTTTTCTTATGTATTTATTTTGTTGTCTTTTCTCAATCAGATTGGGTGGAGTTCAGCCCTTATGAAATTGGCATGGCCAAATATGGCACCTTCATGTCTCCTGGGCTGTTTGGCAGCAAATTCTTCATGGGAAGTGTTGTGAAACAATATGAGGAAAACCCCTTACATTTCCTGATGGGTAAGACTGGAAACATTAATTCATACCTCTTAATATATGTGTGTTAATAATACATTACTGTTGAATGCTTGATTATGATTGGCTGATTTTTAAGGTGGCTTAAACATTTTAAGGTGTGGTGTTATTTTCAGGGAACATCACAGGTAGTTCCAGGCAGGTATTTACCGCTATTCTGTTCAAAATTACCACAACGAATGATTTCAGTTCTTTCAAATTTCTACTTTGCGTCATTGCTGCATGTTCGAAACCTTGGGTGTGCATACTTTTCAGATAATTCAGTTGCCCATTGTCAATTATTCCTTACGTTTTCAATGGACACTGGCAGCAGTTAATCATTTAAGGCCAATTGCTCATACTTGCTATGAGCAGATAATCAAATATTCCTGAGAGGTGTGTAAATAATGTGCCACTTATATGACTCAAGGAACATGAAGAAACTGAAGGAACATTGTGACGTTGGTGGTTAGTTAATATGGCTTTATTGTCTAAATATTGTAATGACTAAAGTAATGACTGAAGAGTCTTTTAGATGTCAGCATTAACCCTTTATAGGGCAAATACTCATTGGAAACACCTTTGAGTATCCCTAGGGGTTATTCCAAGACCTTTTAACGTATAGACAATTTTGAGTGATGTAATCAAAAACAATGGTCCCAACGTATTTACTGTTTTACATTTTTAATTTATGTAGCTTATAAGAATCCAAAAAGAGCCACGTATAGAAAAATAATGTCATGAGAGCTGTTTAAACATGATTGATTATGATTGAATTGCCTCTTGTGACAGTTATGAAATAGTTTGATAACAAGCAGGAAATGTTCATGTGCCAATGACATCACCAAGTTGAAATGGTCTATATGACTATAAATTATATTTTAATCAGTATCAGTGAAGTTACCATATCTGTGTATGGTAGGGTTAAGATGGATGTTTTATTAGGATCACTGATTCAAATTTGAATTAACAGAAGCTGTTTAAATGATCAGTCCAATGAACCAATTCTGACAAAATTGAGAAAAAATGAAGTCTTAAAACAAATTAAAAAATTTAATACAGTTTTAAGTTTTTCATTCATTTAAATGTGAGCTTTATTTTAATTTCCTGAGCAAAAAAAAAGACTATCATACATTTTTGTCATGATTTAGAGAAGACGAAAATGTGATTTATTATAACAGGGCTCGAAATTGCGACCATTTTGGTCGCATATGCGCCCGAAAATTAATCGATGCGACCTCATAATATATATGGGAGCATTAGTGCGACTGCAGATAATGGTTGTAGTGCGACCTGTTTTGATTTTTTTTTTAAACGTGCTGTATCGCTCTTCCCTGCCGCTATATTGGTTCATATTAGCTGTCAATCACTCAAGGCTATCCACTGTTAGATGACAGGGAGGGAGCTTTTATGTCCACGGGAAATGCAAACGGCTAAAGTGTAAAAACTTAAAGCACACAGGTTTGCAAAGTGCAAACCCCACCTAAAGTTGAGACGCAGATGAGAGCGATCATGACACGTGGTAAATAATGATCCGCCAGCTGAGATCAATCGAGTATGTGCTTTTCGGAGAAGGTGTTCGAATCTCGATGCGTTGCATTCACTGCGTTCAGCAGTTCAGCGCAAATGTCCGCTAAAAGTGAAATCTAATACTGTATCATCGCCAAAGAAGCTCGCCTTTACTAAGTTTACAGTGAAACTGCGTCTCAAAACAAACAGCGGTATTGCGCCGGTGCTCAACCTGCTCATAAATTGGGTCGGCTGACTCGCCTGCTTTTCCACTAACACAGAAAAATGAAAATCAGCTCACACGGAACATTTAAATTGACACAAACTGAAACCAAAACTTTTAAAGAGTGATAGAAGTGAGACTTTACTTACTTTCTTTTGCCTATTCTTTCATGAGATGTATATATTTTTTTTATTTAGTTACTGATGACTGTTTTGCAGCTTTCAGCCTTGAATTTAATATTTTATTATAATCTTTTGTTTGTTTTGCAGCTGAAATATTATTTATTAAACTGACATGCATATATATGCTGTTTAGCAGTACAAAATAAATATTTCTTACTGCAATGCTTCATTTTTGTTTGATGCAAACTATACATTTATTTTTCAGAAAGTAACAGACTTTTTATAGCAGATAACTTACATTCAAGCACATTCAAGGCAGCATGATGATGAGAAATGTTATTCATTGTTACTATTATTGTCATTTTCATCATCATTAATATTCTAGAATTATAATACATACACATTTTGGAATTATTGCACACAAATATCAATGTCATCTCAGCATTAATTATAGTTGTTTCTGGTTTTTGTTAGTCCTAATTGATGTTGTTTTAAAATACAATATGTCCCTTAAAATACAATTTGCAGCGGTGCTCAATCATTTTTGGTGGGTGCTCCTAAATTTTTTCTGGTGCTCCTAAATTTTTTCTGGTGCTCCTAAATTTTTTCTGGTGCTCCTAAATTTTTGAAGTTGGGAGCACCGGTGCTACCAAGTAAAAAAGTTAATTTCGAGCCCTGTATAATAATAATTTATATTCCACCTATCAGGCATTTTTGAACAAAATCATTCAACAAAATTCAACATTCAACAGACTCGCACTGTGTTCCATTCAGAAGGACTCATCCTTATTCCCTAATCTCTAATACGGAGTAACAGCTTTAAAGGGATTAGGGCATAGGGATGAACCCTTCTAAATGGAATGAAGTGTGCAACACCAATCCACTTCCCAGCACAAAGGATCACAGTGGTCCGAAGTGTCCATCTGTTGTACCCTTCAAAAACGAAGTGCCCAGTTTTGAGCACTTTGGTTTGGAACGACACTTTAATATGGAGGCCATGATTGTTTTTATTTTGAAGTACCCTTCGTAGGATGATACATCTAGTTTGAAATGCACTCTCTATTTAAGAAACTTAAGAGTTAGCTCCAGCTAACAAATGTGAACTAGCTTAAGAAAGTCTTATTAGTTATACTAGAATTTTCCATGTTGGTGTGTTTAGGCAAGTTGGAGCTTAATTTTGCAAAATAGTGGCCCTCCAGGAGTTTGGAAACTAGGGTTGTAACGGTATGAATTTTTTACGGTATGATAATCGTCTAAAACAATACCACGGTTTGACGGTTTCACGGTATACGGTATGTTACAAATGTTACAAAATAATAGAACAGTGAAGGAAATTTGACTTTTTCCAAATAATATATTTTCAGTTACTATAAACAACACCACTTACAAAGAACAAATAAAAAAATAAGAAAATAATAAATAATGTGTCAAAGTCCAAATAAAGTCCAAATAAACATGGTGCAAATCCTCAGTAAAAAAATAGATATAAATATTTACTATCCTATAAATAGTTACATAACGAAACTAGATTCAATATGGAACATCTTTAGGTTTTATGTGCCAGCATGGGTATGGTTGTCTGTGGATATGGATTTGGATATGGTTGTCTGCAATGCAGACAAACAGCTGCACCTTCATTTGCGTCTTTTGAAAACAGCAAGAGCAGCAGTTCGTCTTTGCTGTGTCACTGTTTTGTCATGTTTCTGTGCATGCAAAAGTACTTAGTATGAGAATTATTTCATGCAAAACTTTTTTTTTGCGTTTTATTTAGCCGCGCATAAATGTATGCCTATCTCTCATTCCGTGTTGTTCAAAAAGCTCAGTGTTGGTCCACAAATAAAAAGTGAAACCTATGCTTATTGGTTGTGATATAGCGAGTTTGAACCAATCTGGGCATGGAGGAGGGACAATGCATCAATGTATCATGTCTGGTTTGTCCGGAGACACAGTGACGAGCGTTTCTTTGTCAAATCAGCGTTGTCAAATTTTCATGACGTAACCGCACTGATTCCGAATGTTATGTGATACAGCACTGGAAAGCTAAGATTCTCTTCTTTATGCCAATATTTGAATTGTATGAATCGGATCAGCGGATCAAAAGTTATTAAACATTTAAGAGCAATACTTATTTTTAGCCGCGGGTGGCTGTCTCGGTCTTTAAGGGTTAAAACCGTTGATATGCAATTGTTCATGGTATGATAATCGTGCACGTTCAAATCGTGGTAGACCGTCATACCGGTATATTGTTACAACCCTATTGGACACCCCTGATTGAAATCTGTATAATTTGCAACTCTCCTTTAAACTACTAGGTTTTACTCATTTTTGTCACGTAAGAAAGTGAACAGCGAAGGTGGAAGGAGGGGGATCAGTAAAAATGAGTTGCCGGATCAGATTTCAGAGGTGCTGGATCTGGATCCAGCTTGTTCCGGCACAAATTAAGCCCTGGTGGGGGGAACCCAGGGGAAACACAGAAGCGTCGAGTGACTTGGTAAGGACTAGAACCAGTGACGTTCTTGCTGTGAGGCAATAGTGCTAACCACTGGGCTGCCGGGTCGCCCATCCAGGAAAGAAAGAGGAGTCAGGGAGGAAGGGGATTCTTTAAAACGAAGATGACTGTGGTATGGAGCATACTTATAGTGACTCAGGAATCGTCTGATTGGTGAATCATGAATAGGCTAATGCTCGACCAGCCGTGATCAATCATAAGCACATGATCCTCTCAAAATTAGTTTATAAATAAACTTCACTTATTCATTTAAGTAAGGAATAAAGTACATCCTGGCTGTTGTTATTATAGAATTAAGCATCACATGCTTGTCGTCAGCCTGTGGCAAATGACCTGAATGATGCTGTTTTATTAGTTTCAGGTTAATATCTTGGAATAGTATACAGTACCTTGGTATGTTGCAAGTGACCAATCAAAATGTACTATACCAGACAACCATGTTAAAATATAATAACATTTAACATGATCACTTGCTCTTTTATATGCTTTTAAAAATACAGGTTATACTAAATAATTAAGGACTGAACATTTAACCCAAATTTTGACATTTATTTTTTCATATAAGCTATTTTAAACATAAAAGCAGAGAGTTACATTAAAAAGTCCTACTATGTATTTAACATCACTTTAGTAACACAGAGAAAACACCAAAACAATCTTTAGTTGAAATGATGCTTTGTTTGATTTAAATAAAAAAATATTCAACTAAATACATGTTTTGAGATGTGCATCATCAAACACAAGCATTCATAACCTTTTTTCCGAGAAACTTCTCTGTTAAAGAGTGCAAGTTCTTCATAATTCATTAATTTATTCATTATTGGATTTGTCCCTTTATTAATCTTTAGTCGACACAGTGGAACGAACTGCCTCTTCATAATTCAGATCATTGGAAAATATTTGCAGTAATACATAAAGTGTTTATTGTGAGTGTTGTTGTTGTTTGCTGCAGGTGTGTGGGGAAGTGCTTTTTCCATCCTCTTTAACCGGGTTTTGGGTGTGAAGGAGACGACCAGCAGTAGCACTATGGAGGAGGAGCTGGGTGAGTCAGACTGGCAGGAAATCTTCTTTTTTATGCTATCAGACTCAAAGAACTTGATCAAAAGTAATGATTGTGTCATATTCAGAGAGAGAACACTAATGTAGGAAGATCAGTTGTTATGATATCACTAAGTTTGCTTGGCAATTGGTGCCATGACAAGTTCTTTAAGTGCAAACATGTACAGTTGACAGGAACCATGAGTGCTCAAATTCACTGTGAAACTGATAAGATTAACAAACTGCCACACTACGAGTGTGACATTTATCGTCTAGAATTATATCTAACTGTTGTTTAAGGAAATGTGAGTTGATGTTATCAAAAAAACCTTGGTGAGTCCAGAAGCATGATTAAGCTTATTGGAATGTAGTAACATTGGCTCTATAATTCAATGAATTGACATTACAGATTATAGTTTATTCAGTATATTCATGTCACACTTTGAATTAATTACATTTTAATCATATATTTTCTTTACCTCAATTCATTTATTCATTTTCTTTTCGGCTTAGTCCCTTTAATAATGTGGGGTCGCCATAGAGGAATGAACCGCCAAATTATCCAGCACGTTTTTACGCAGCGGATGCCTTTCCAGTCACAACCCATCACTGGGAAACATCCATTCACACTCATACACTACGGACAATTTAGCTTACCCAATTCACACATACCGCATGTCTTTGGACTTGTGGGGGAAACCGAAGCACCCAGAGGAAACCCGCGGGAGCGTGGGGAGAACGTGCAAACTCCACACAGAAATGTCTTCTGACCAGCCAAGGCTCGAAACAGCAACCTTCTTGCTGTGTGGTGACAGCACTACCTTCTGCGCCACCACGTCACCCTTCTTTACCTCGATAAAGTTATTATATTCAGCAAATGCAGTAAACACTACCAGCATGTACACTTGCAATACTTATAAAATACGCCGATGATCTGGCATTGGGTTCCTGTCAGGAAGAAATGAATAGCTTATTATATAAATATATATATATATATTTATTCTATTCTTCTTTTTTCCCCTTCATCCTTCAAACCAAACATTTGATACGCTTTGATTTACTCTCTGTTTTACGCTGCCTGACTGGGTTTCAACCAGGTAGTAACGGACTCAACACAGAGACTGGACAGCCTAATTTAACCCAATGCATAAAGATGTGGATGTGCATCACAGAGCTGGTGCAAATACATAAAATAAAAGCATTTAAGTTTTGTCTTAATATGTGTATTTTTCTTTTTGTTAATACCTTTTATATGATGTGCTTTGGTCCACTCTCTCACGCTACTTCAGTGTTGCCTGATGAGGGGATTTACATTCAGACTAATGCAACGATTAAAATGATACATGACTTCACTCTTTACCAAGTCATGTCTGTGTGGATTAGGTCAAGACATATTCCCTTTTCAAGTCGATCAACTCGATCTGTCAACATCAATGTTAATTTTGTTGATGAAAAATTTGTCATAATTTTTATGACGGAACAAGTTTCTACTGACAAAAAACTAGATGAAAACTAAATAAAAATTAAGTGATGATGACTACAACTATAATAAAAATAGACTAATAAAAAAAGACATGAGAATGTGATTGGAGAAAGTTTTTTTGTAAAATATTCAATCAGAATTAATCTTGGTGTGATGTATGAAACACACACATATTGAAAAGTAACTGATCCACAGTAGAAAAGGGATGCGATTACTTCATCATAAGAGTAAAGTAGATTTAGTTGACTACAATTTTATGAAATTTAGTCAACTAAAACTTGACTTAAACTAAAATGATTCAGAAGACTAAAATATGACTGAAACTAAAAGACAAAATACGACTTAAATTAAATCAAAATTTGTGGTCAAAATTAACACTGCTTAACATGTATGATGTTAAAACCTGCCATGTGAAAAAACGTGCCGATCTTTGGTTTGAACACGAAAAGAGGTGAATGCTGTAGTAGTGGAAAATGAAAGTACCTGCCCCCATTAGGTCAGTACCGGACCTTGTTAAAACCATTGATGAACCTATACAGGCAGTCAGGCAGCATAATACAGGGAGTGGACCAAAGTGCATCAAATGATCAGCAATTAAAAGAGAAAAAATAAAATAAATATATATATTTATATTAGACACGCACCTTATGCTTGTATTTGCACCAGTTCCAAACCCATAACTTCACGCATTGGCTTAAATTAGGCTTTGCAGTCTCCGTGTTCAGTCCTTTGCTTCCACTGTGTCTGTTAAGCTGAGGGAATGAAACCAATGCAGTGGCGGTGATATTCCAAGATGGTGGTGCCCTAGTTCTAAAATCTATTGTAAAACGTGCCGTTTTCTGCTAAATGGTCACATTAATCAAGTTTGTTACATATATATATATATATATTTCCATTAAAGTGGAATCCAATGTACAAAATAATATAAACTTCATTTCCACTTTAAACAGGGCATATAGATCATTAATAGAGAGTGTTCTCACATATAACATTGTTTCATGCTTTGGTAACACTTAAACAGAGGAAGAAATTATCGCAAATTATTAATCAGGCAAATAAGATAACTGATCGCAAACATCATTCGCTGCAGATTCAATTTGACTCCTCCAACAGCAATTGGGATTTTTGATGACAATACACATCCCCTTCACTCAGCTTTTGAAGTGTTACCATCAGGATACAGGTTTAGAATTCCTAAAGCTCCAAGAAATGCTTATAAAATGTCATCTATCCCTATTGCAGTTGTTGTCTTAAATCTGATCACTGTTGTTGTCAAGAATGATCTGCAGTAATATGCATGGGGCTAATTTGGTTTTTACATTTTTAACTCATGTTGTTGTCTTGATGAGTGTTGCTATTGTGTGATTGTTGTATGTATGCAGTTGTCTTAAATCCAGTGATAAAGACAAATTTTCCTTTCATAAAGTTTAAACTAAAAGTTTTTCTCTTTTTTTCTCTTCTTTTTCATTCTTTTATAACACATTTTATCTGTTTTTATGTTTTTTTAATCATTTTTATTATTTGTTTTTATTTTTCTTATACTTGTTTCTTTCATTCTTGTTTATAAAGAGTAACGCAATTTCGATTCTCTATATGTCTTGTACATGTGGCTGAATTGACAATAAAGCTGACTTTGACTTTGACTTTATGTAAAGCACTTTGAATTGCAACTGTGTATGAAATGTGCTATATAAATAAACTTTCCTTGCCTTGCCTAAACTAAACTTATTAACAGATGTGCTACTAGTTTCATTTACAGTAAGCTAGTAATTATCAGGGGATCTCTGTGATCATATTATTCATAAGGTGCACTTCTTCTGTGCACAGATGCGTTGTTATGAGTTTTACTCGTAGGTTGTAACACAGAACAGGGTAAAAAAAATGGTGTCTTTTATCAGGCGGCTGATCTAAACACCGTTTGTTTCTTGTGTTTGTCAGAGCAAATTAAACCAGAGCACATTGTGGGTGACGATTCTGCTGATAACGAGGAGGAAACTCAAAGAGGTGAGAAGATTTTCTCTCATGCACACAGTCAGTTCAGTTCAGGGCTCAACAGTAAAGATGACCTGCTGCTCTGGGGTCAGCGTGTTAGGTTTCAGGGCGGTTGACTGGAATGTCATTTACCTTGTTAGATTTAGCGTTGCGTCAATACATCCTGTGTGCATTCTTCATGTGTTGAGTTTTATGTCTAAACTTGATGTGGTGAATACTGTTTGTATTGTCAATGTTTTATTAAGCTGACTGTCTAATGCTGGGGTCACCAATCTCGGTCCTGGAGGGCCGGTGTCCCCGCAGGGTTTAGCTCCAACTTGCTTCAACACACCTGCCTGGATGTTTTTAAGTATACCTATAAGACCTTGATTAGCTTGTTCAGGTGTGTTTGATTAGGGTTGGAGCTAAAATCTGCAGGACACCGGCCCTCCAGGAACAAGTTTGGTGACCACTGGTCTAATGTTTTACTTTGTTTGTTTATTCATTTAATTGTTATTGTAATATTGTGATTTTTTTTTACTTAAGTCCTTACCAAAGAGATATTAATTATTAATATTGTATTTATTTATTGATTGACTGATTGATGGAATGATTGATTTGTTGTTATAATGATACTCATTAGCATTGTACTAGTTTATTGATTTACTTAGATATTTACTTCATTTTTCTTGTTTAGTTATTTATTTAAATAGTCATCAGTATAACTTTCTAATGTATAATTAATTAAATAGCTTATTTGTTTATTTTTTTCATTTATTTGTTTTCTTATTTACTTATATATTTAAATTGTTAGCAATATAATGGTCTAACATCAAATTAATATATTTATATAATATTAATATAATATTAATATAAATTATTAATATTAATAATTATTTAATAATTTTCTATCTTACTATGATTTTATTTTTTTATTTTACTGTAAATTTATTTACTCTTACTTTTTCTCTATTGTACAACTATGTTAATGTATAATTCTGAATTTATTTATTTTAATTGTTACCAGTCTAACATTATCTAACTTATTTATATATTTATTTATTTATTTAATTTTAAAATGTAAGATTAGCTTGATATCAAATATTTATTTATGTATTTATTTTCTTATTTACTTGCATATTAAAATTGTTACCAATGTAATGGTCTAACATCTAATTAATAAAATTGTTTATTTAATCATTTTCTCTTTATTTATATTTAGTTAGGTAACATTAGCTAACCAATATTTTATTACAATTTTTAATTTACTGTAAATTTATTTACTTTTAATTTTTTTCAAATGTACAACTCTTCATCTATAATGCTGTATTTATTTTATTAATTAATTTATTCATTTAAATTGTTACCAGTCTAACATTATCTAACTTATTTATTTATTTAACTTTTATTTACAAAAGTAAACTTAGCTTGCTATCAATTATTTATTTATTTATTTATTTGATTATTTATTTATTATTTTTAATTTAATTTATTTATTCAAATGTTATTGTTACCCAGTGTTACACCTGGCTCAAGGATGTAACATAGTAAGGGAGACGACAAGGCGAAGTATAATCAAGAAGAAGATTTATTTAACTCAGTTGAAATAATATAATCAAAATATCAGTATCAGTATGTTCAATCAGTGTGAAATGCAAGTGTATGGATGCGGTAAATGTAAAACAAAGCATAATGTCTAAATTGGTAAAACACAATACAAACTAACTAAATTGAACATAATTGTTCCCGATTAGAATCAACATGTAAATCAGACAAGTAGTATCAGTAACGTACTTTTATTGGTCATTTTTGGAAATTGCATGGCTTACATACTTGTTAAGTTTCATGCCAGTAAAGTTAGCTCTTTATAATGCAGTGATGTTTTGCGTGTGATTTGTGTTTTGCGTGTGATTTGTGCATTGAAGATCCAGCTGAGTAGAGTATAACAGCTGACAGGTCAGGAACACTGACGCTATATTTCAACATTTTATCTGAAGGCAGACACTGAATTAGGAGAACGTTTTTTTCTCGCACTTAAACTGCAACTGACAGAAGCATAACGGCTTTAACACACCTTTCAAAATCAACATTTTGCATCACAAAAACACTCAAAACGGTATTGACACCCAGTTTAAAAACGCTGCTCTCACTGATGACAATCCTAAACCGAAGTTCTAAGCATCCTACCAGAAGGCACTGGTCTCTATGGTGCCCTCCATGCAGCAACAAAGAAAAAGGTCTATACATATCTGTGAGCAAGCCAACTGAGGCAAATTTTCTGTCTGTTTGTCTTTTACCCAGGAGGCACAGAGTCTGCAGATGCAGAGGACGAGCGCCAGCGTCATGCCCAGGCCAGCTGGGTACAGCGCATGTTGACCTCCATCATGGGCGACACCACTCTGTTCACCACTCGTGAGGGCCGCGCAGGCAAAGTGCACAACTTCATGCTGGGACTGAACCTGAACTCAACCCTGCCCTTCTCTCCCTTCAGCGGCATCACACACCAGACCTCGCTGGAGGAGGAAGTGGACGCTGTTACTGGTACATCGACATGCACATGCACATTAACAAATATTTGATGCCAAAAATACTTTTAGCAAGAACCCCTTTCCTAAAACAAAAAGGTCTCTGGTATTACCAAACTGAATGTTTTCATACATATAATATATATGTATATATATATATATATGTATATATATACAGACCCAAGACATAAACAACTATATTGTTGTTTACTAACCTTTAAAATGGATGGTAGCTTTAGAAAATATCTTTTATATCGCATGAGCCAACAAACTGTATATATGAGCAATATCACACGGGTAGCAGTGCAATATGGCTGTATATCAGCACTGATGGGAGGCGTGCGTTGGCACGAGGCAGCAGGCCGAGTACAGCCATATCACACTACGACGAGTGTGATATTGCGTTTATACAACAGTTCGATGGCACAATCTTGTATATAAAAAAGAAAATCAAACACGGATAGTCTAAAACCCTTTTGTATTAGGAACTACTTTCTTCCGCCATTCAATCAGATCTGCAGCTGACGTTACAACAGAAGCCGTTACTAATTCACCTACGTCACTTTAGAGCTAGTGTTTGAATGATTTTCTATAACGTAATGTGAAGCGGCGCTTCTGGTGTGTGACCCCCTTAAAGTGATGACAAAACAGATGATTTTGCTCACATTTTTAAAATGATATTGCTGAACGTGACATGAAATGCCATCCGTCTACAGGGGTATCTCCCTACAGTCTATTACAGTCTACAGTCTTTCTCTGTTGTCGTCGGTATTGTGACGGGTGCCAGGTGTCCCAGCATTTACCCGGAGACTTTATGGAATAAAGAAAGGAGACAGAAACTTTTTCGCTCTTCCCAAGTGCTGTCGACTACATACATGATAGTCAACGACAATGAGTAGGCAAAAGGAAAAGAAAAAGACACTCAAATGGCACTCCCATTTTTATTCAAACCCTTCCCATTTTCCCTCCCCCGACACTCCCACCCAAACAGAGCTTGACACACCCACTTTCCTGACTTTTTCCAAACTAGAGGTGTGAAAACACCCTGCTGAAAAGGGGGGTTTCATGGCCCTTTTAAAATGTTAGCAAAATCACCTTGTTTTGTCATCACTTTACATTAATTACACTAGAGAGTCATTCAAATACTAGCTCTAAAGTGACAGTTTCTACTGTTCTGATGTCAGCTGCAAATGTGATTGAATGGCGGAAAAAAGTAGTTCCTCTCACAAAAGGATTTTGAGACTCTTCGTGTTTGATTTTCTTTTTTATATACACAGTTATGCCACTGAACTGTTGTATACCATAGACTGTAAAATATATGGACGTAGTATCCGTGACATCACCCATAGGTTTCTGAACACTTCAAAAGAAGCCACAAGTAGGCGCACCCACGGCGGTATCAATAAAGACTGTTGTAAGACTTTGAGCCACTAAGCATTGTTCTTATGATGTTTTTCTACAGGAGGAAAACGCGAATTACTTCCAAACCCTTTAGATATAGTCTGTGTTAGTAAATGCAAGGCTATTAATGAAATCCAGCATAACAGTGTATGACAACGCTTCAGACGACTGTTCGAGAGCCTACAACTAATCAGTCTGTCAGATTCTGGACTGCATTACAGGTCTAAAAAAATATAAATGATAAATGATCTTAAATGAAAACAAATACATTTATAGAGATGGTATATATGTATACAACTTTACTCGCATGGGAAACGGAGGCCATGTAAATGGTTTGTGAGCAAAATTTACTGCACACAGCATCCCATATCATCTGATAATTGTTAGAAATAATTCCAAAAGGCAACTGTGTAAAGCCACATAAAACAACACAAAAATAGGATGAATATGCCGAGTTCAGTGGCTAATCTGCCAAAGTCAGCTGAGGTGTAGTGACGGCGACCAGCGAGACCTAACTGTCACTCAAGTGGCCATGCCCTTAATTATGCAAACTTAATATTACCTAATTTAAAGGAAACAAATGAGTTATAAAAAAAATTCACCCCCCTCATAGTTGTCATGAAGAATAATATTAGTTATATGAACCAAAATCGTTCATTGTACCAGGCTGTGAACACCTTTTTTTCTGCTATAAAGTTGGCCATTCTAACAGTGGGCTTAATTGAAATTTGCTCTATTACGGAGCCAGGACTAACGGAATTTCGATGAATTGCAGTTTCAGTTACTTGCGTATTGGCTTCCTGAGGGAGAGCAGAAGGTTGCTACTTGGTATATACGCAATATCACACTCGCAGCAGTGCGATGTAACTGTATATCAGCACTGGTGGGACATTAAGGCACTTCTACGTGTGCCATATTGCTCATATATATATACTATTTATTTATATGAATTTTTTTAATAATAGTAGTAATTATATTATATGTTTTATAAATTGGTTAATGCATATTTTTACTCAGTTTAGTCATTTGGCAAGTGTTACTATTAGGCTTCATAGTTAAAATTTGGTATAATATTTAATTATCTTGATTTTAAAAGAAAAGAATAATAATAAAAACACTTTTTGGCTAACTTTTTTTTTACTTAAAAAAGTACTACATATTTTTATCTTAACTTTTTAACAGATCCAGAATTATATTCCACAGTACTGCCTGAAATCTCGATTTAACTGAGCCCTGTGAAGTATGAGTTTAAAAGAAAAGGGTGTGACGGACCGTAGGTGGAACAATGGTGTTAAATCTGGTCAGGTGCCATGGGACTCGAGGATGGCCTTTCAAACATTATGCGGTGCTCGAGTGGGAGGAAGTCAGTTAGTCAGCTCTCAAAACTTCTGACATCTAAGAAATACCAACACACCCACTGTAGGTTACCTTTCATCCCAGAAACACCTGAAAACCTCACACAGGAAACATCTCTCACTTGCATGTCAATGCAAGATCAGCGATTGTGTTAAACAAGATGGTCTATGTTTAACGTCTCATTAGATAATAACTGATAATAAGGCCACTGCATGTCTCTGTGACTCAGCAGAAGTCTGTACTTCCTGTTGACGCTTGGTTGTGAAAAATAAGATAAGCTGTTGTAAGAATGTGAATAAATGATTGCATTGTAGCTGCATAGAATCTTTATTACGGAACCACTAGGTGAATCTAAGAGATCACATCTTGAAGTTCATTTGTCGGTCATTATCGGATGTGCCATTATTCAATAACATGAACATGCATGATGTTATCTTGGGCATTTCAAAATATTGAGGAGAATAATTATTTTTTTATTTAAACTTTTAAACTGCCTTTAAAAGAACAACTCTTGAATTAAACAGTTGAGCTTTATTATTTTTTAATTAATTTAGACACTTTTAGCTTAGCATAAATCATTAAATCAAATTAGACCATTAGCATCTTGCCTACATTAGCATTTTGCTGGATAGTTGACCCAATATTGAAAATTCTGTTATCGTTTACTCACACTTTAATTGATATAAACCGGTCTGCCTTTCTTTCTTCTGTTGAACACAAATTAAGATATTTTGAAGAAAGCTAAAAACCGGTAACCATTATCTTCCACAGTATTTGTTTTCTCTACTATGAAATGTCAATGGTTACAGGTTTTTAGATTTCTTTTAAAATATATTCCTTAGTGTTCGACAGATTAAATAAACTTATAAAGGTTTATAATGACATTTTAATTTTAGGGTGAACAATCTCTTTAATAGGCTTTTATTTTCCAACATAAACTTTGTTACGTGTTAAACTTGCATGTTTATGGATAAAGCAGTAACAGAAATCAACCATTTCTGCAGATCCGGATGAGTTTGAGCGAATCTATGAGCCTCTGGATGTGAAGAGCAAGAAAATCCATGTGGTGGACAGTGGCTTGACCTTTAACCTGCCCTACCCTCTCATTCTGCGGTGTCAGAGAGGAGTCGACCTGATTATTTCATTCGACTTCTCAGCCCGACCCAGTGACTCCAGCCCACCGTTCAAAGTAAGTGTCTGACACCTGAGAATGTATTGTATGTATTTAAAAGTAGGTTTACAGCAGAAAAAAATTAAATGCACAATGCAGTTTGTGATATCAGTAAAAAAAAAAAAAATAGGAAAACAGAATTCTGCCTTCGTTCGTTTCATAGTTTCTGTTTTTTTAGGTTTAGTTGTATGAGCATAACAGATTTGGGATTTGGTCATAAACTGTTGGTTTAAAAGGTTGATATAATTTTTTTTAAATGTTTTTGTACAAAGTGCCTCACAGAAGCTGCATTTATTTGATTTAAAATGCTATACAAAAGATTTAACAGTATTATAAAATATGATTAGAAATTCAAATAATTGTCATTTGTTTTCTGTTTGTTAATTTTGAGTATTTAACATTAATTTTATACAACAGTTCAATTATAAAGTTTATCAAAATTCATAGACAACAGTGTATTGTTTTTTTTGATCTATCAGAGAACTCTTTTTTTTTTTTCTGTTGGCTTTTTTGTCTAATCATGTCCTTGTTTGTCTGTGCCAGGAGTTACTGCTGGCTGAAAAATGGGCCCGTATGAATAAGCTGCCCTTCCCGAAGATTGATTCGAAAGTATTCGACAGAGAGGGTCTAAAAGAGTGCTATGTGTTCAAGCCTGCTAAAGGAGACAAGAACTGCCCCACCATCATTCATTTTGTCTTGGCCAACATCAACTTCCGGAATTTTAAAGCCCCTGGTGAGAGTTTGATACAAAAGCTGCTTTTTCACTGTGTGGTACGGTATGGTTCAGCACATCTAGGCTTGCTTTGATTTGGTTTTGCTCAGTTCAGTTTGCATTTCCTATGCAGTTTAGAACTGTTTAAAGTGGGTGTGATTGTCACTATTGTTGCACCAAACAACTACCCTGACATCATCGTTTACATTTTTGGTAGTTTAATCTGGTTCTCTGCTATCAATTAGAGTAATGTCTAGACCTCTTTTACTGACCACGATGCTGCCATTTCAGGTGTCTTTTTCTTGTGGTGGTTTAGTGACTGCTGCTGACTATTAAAATAAATCAGGTTTGTTGTCTTGTGGCACAAATCCAATGACACTGGTGTTGATGCTGGTATTGACGATTCCCACAGACCAATCTGAAAAGCTGTGTGTATATGTCATGTTTGGTAATGGTAGGGCACTCTTGAAACATCATGCAAGGTGGTACTAAAAAAGTACCAGGTACGAAACAGAGTGGAAAAGCTGTTAAAATTGTGCTATATTCAAACTGAAATATGTCATATCATGGAGTGGAAAAGCACCATTAAATAGGCTAGTGAGGAAGCTGTAGCAGCACTTTAGTATAGCCTTAATGTATAAAAACACTGTAACAAGGATATTTTAAAAACTGTAACCTAAGCTAAGTTTTGCTGACCTAAAAAATTTAATTAACAGTAATAGTTATCAGCTAATGTCATTATAGTTGATAAATAAATAAGGGAAAATAAGTAGATAGAATAGAAACAGCACAGGAAGTTATTGGGCTCTATTTTAGCAATCTAGGCGCAAAGTCTAAAGCGCATGGCGCAAAAGCATTAAGGCTGTGTCTGAATACACTTTTGCTATTTTAAAGACTAAAAAATGTGGTCTGCACCCCGGTGCACCCCGGTGCAACAATGTTGTGCTTATTCTCAGCATAACGTGCATTAAACCAATCAGCCTAATCTCCCATTTACTTTAAGACTCATTTGTGTCACACCATGGCTCATTTGCTATTTACATGGTGGGCTTTGTAAGTGGTTAAACTGAACACTTCAGTTGTGAGAAAACAGTTAAATAGACCATCTGCAGCGTGAGGATAAAGAATGAGCCTCCTCCATTCGGCCTCTTCACTTTCTCCTTACTTTTACTTTTTACTTTATTCCTTTACTTTACAAAGATTTGTTTCAAAACTATTTCTAAATTCAGTTCTAATTTCTAGCAGACAAATAAATGAACAGTAATAACGAAGTGTGGTCAAAAAACTGAGTTTTATCCAAACACACGTCCCATTCTTATGCTCAATATGGTAATGCGTACATCTACAAAACCTGACAGGTGGACAAATCTAAACTTGATTTTATTAAAACAAACATAAATATGCACATGATAAATACTACTGCTTATAATAATAACATTATAAAAATGCAGATTGTCATGAATAAACTGGCAAAAAGCCCTCTTTGTAAGTATAAATAATGTGATCTGCGCTGGACTTGCAATTGTGCAGTCTATTTCAGTTACTCAAAATAGCAATGCATCAACAATGCACCTTAACACACCTTCTTTTAAGGCCAGAACACCCATGAGTCCACAAAGTGGCACAAATGGATTTGCTATTTAAACAACGTGGCTCAAAACAAGGAAATTACAGTTGCACTGGTCTGAAAATAGCAACAAATTGCACCATACACATCTTGTGCCTGGTATATGATCGGACCAATAGTGTTAAAGGGTCAAGTGCTAACAACAAATAGGTTTTAGGCATTTCAGCAAGCTAATGCAAACGGATGAACAGAGATGTCACTTTCTTTGACATTTAACATTTTGCCCACTAAACTTTTCAAGGTTTGATAGTACTGACTATTCAAGAAAGCATTGCAAAAATCCAGGCTGGATTAAACAAGAGCTTCAACCGTGAGTAATAGTGCATGTTTCAATAGGAACACGTGTATAATCATTCTAATGTATAAGGCAAATCTGCTCAAAACAGATTAGATCAAAACAGATTTAACTGAATGGATAAGTTCTGTCCTGGTATGGTTGAGTTGATTATGATGTTTTTTTTTTTTTTATCTAATGATGTCTGTCAGACAGGCTAAGATACAAGCAGCATTTGCTCTATCAATAAGCTATAATGGGAGCATAGCAGTGACAGGAAAATACATGTTTCTGAATGGCCTGTTCTGGTGATGCCAAGTAGGTGGAGAACAGAAGGGATCCAATAACTGAGCCCTGAGGCACATCGGTAGTCATTTGTTGTGGCTCAGACACCTAACCTTTTCAAAGCATCCAAAAGGATCTGCTCTAATCCAACTCTGCGATTCCCTCATGAGGGCCGACCAGAGATTAATTCCCCTTGCACACTGCCTGTGTGCAACAATTGATGCACAACAAAACTGAATTTCAGGCCATATCAAAAACTTATATTAAAACTTGTAAACAAGCATTGTTTTTATTGGAATATTGGGCATTTTAAATGACAGAAATATTAAGAACTAGATGCTGCATTTGTAGGTCATATATCAAAACTGTATCTTACTGATGATGTGAATTTATTAATAGAAAAGGTCTCACTAAACCCTTATCTTCACTGTTTTCTCGAAGGAGTTCCTCGAGATTCAGACAAGGACATAGAGTTTGGTGACTTTGACATATTTGACGAGCCAGCCTCCCCTTACTCCACTTTCAACTTCAAATACAACAACCAGGCCTTCAAGAGACTTCATGACCTCATGGAGTTCAATACGCTTAACAACATCGAGGTCAGGTCTACTCTTCAATCTCTGGCTTTCACCTGCAGTTTGTTTTTGCTCTTCATTCTACATGATTCTTTTGTTTTGCAGGTTATCAAAGAAGCCATTAAAGACAGCATTCTGCTGAGACGAGAGAACCCAGCGCGATGTTCGGTTTCCCTTTCGCTCAGTGAAATCGAAAACAAGAAGTTCCTGAAACGAGACAACAGCATTGCAAAACGACCCACCTAACAGACAGCTATGCAAAAAGCTACACAAAAGTGTGAGACTGCATTGGTCCATTGGTGCGGATATTGAATCAGTGAGCAGATTCATCAGACAAGGCTGGATTGACCTTATTACAGGATCATTGTATGCTGCATTCTTGAATTCTTTCATCTCCTACTTGAAAATAACCACAGGAACACTTGAGGTGAGATGTCGGGTTCACAACCACCAGAGGTCCATTGTCCAAAAAAGTCAATTACTAGAAGTTGTTATTCCAATACTGTGCAGCATCTTTAATAGCCCCTTTCACACAGTGATACCAGAACGAGTTTACCGGTAAATTCAAAAAAGTGCTGTTCACACAGGCAAGGGCGTTCCGGAATTTTCCATTCACACTCCCATTCCAAAATACCAGTAAATTCTAACATCATTAACCAGAACTGAGCACTTGTATTTGTAAACATAGAAAGTGTCTGGCTTTTGTTGATGGTTACACTTTTATTTATAGCTTAAGCATTTATGTAGCTGCTTTGTTTTTGCTTTGGCAGAAGCGCCAACCGCAGCTATATGTTTACACATTTGACGACATTACACATTCTGCATATTCATGAATAACTGTGATGAAAACATGTGGAGGAACACTTTCGCATGTCGAGATGTACATAATATGTGTATGTGCTAGCACTCACCGGTGCATTGCTTCACGTGCACACGCGCCTGGCAACTGAAGCAGAGCTTGAAGGTAAACTAACAGCGGTTTATTATAAGCATTTTATCGATACATTTTTACAAAGTTGGCATTAAGAAGGAACATAGAAACGTTATCTGACTAACATCTAGCAGCTAAATGTGTCTGGGAAAAATGTTTTAAGGCTTTTATTTTCATAAACAGCGCAGATGTGAATGCGTCTGAATGTTCTGATTGGCTGGAGTAGACATCTCATGTCAGCAAATTCTTAGCGTGAACGTACTCTTTCTGGCAATTTTCCTGCAGCATTGCGGCAAATTACCGGTAATGTTACAAGTTCTCTTTACGGAAAATTCCGGGAACTAATTTACTGGTATTTTTAAAAAGGGCCTGTTTACACATGATCCCTACAGAAAAGTCTGTATGTGTGAAAGGGGCTAATGAAAGTTCTATCATTTTAAACCAATGTTGTTCAAATGATCACTGCAGTTTTGAGTCTTAAAGGGGACCTATTAAGCAAAACCACTTTTATAAGGGGTTTAAACACAGTTGTGTGGCAACAGTCTGTGAATATAACCAGCCATCTAATAGTAAACTTTTATTCGTTTATTTTTTTATAATCACACTAAAAACTGTCTACAGACTATCTGCAAAAAGCCTGCAGAAACACTTTACTTGACCCGCCTCTTTGTGAGGATATCTCCCTCATTAGCATTGGACCATAGTCTTGTTTTTGAATCTGCCACTAAGCTGACACAATGGCATTTATAGCTCCGCCTTCTTTCGAGATGAGTTCTGGGAGCAAAATCTCATTAGAATTTAAAGCGACAGTCACTAAAAAGGCACAATTAGGATCAAAGCCTAAAAGGGTTCGTTTTAAAGAGTTATTAAACCTTATTTGTGAAGTATTTTGAGCTGAAACTTCACATACACACGCCAAGGACATCAGAGACTTTCTTAACATTTTGTAAAAAGGGGCATAATAGGTCCCCTTTAACTAGCTATTTGTACTTCTTATGATGCAATATACTATGGTAGCTACGCCAGTATACTAAATAAAACTAAATGGCAACATTTTACATTATAGATAATTATAGTTTTATAAAATGAATTTACACTGAAAAGACTTATAAGCATCTATTAATGTTTATATAAATGTTTACAAAAGGTGTATCTTTTAATATCTAATGTACCTGCACTAACAAGAACATACAATGAATAGCTGTATTTATAAAACCTGATGTTGATAAGCATGTAACTAATGTATGCTCATTGATAATTACAATAAGGTTCCATTAGTTTCAGGGGTGTCCAAACTTGGTCCTGGAGGGCCGTCGTCCTGCATAGTTTAAGTCTAACTTCCTTCAACACACAAGCCTGAAAGATTCTAGTATACCTGGAAAGAGCTTGATTAGCTGAATCAGGTGTGTTTAATTGGGGTTGGAACTAAAATATGGAGGACACTGGCCCTCCGGGACCGAGTTTAGACACCCCTGCAGTTCAGACTGCATGATTTTCAAAGTAGTCGTGTCACGGATGTTTTCACACTGCATGACTATCTGGGCTAGCGTTTCGTCGCTGCTTTGTCTACACTGCAAGATGGATCGGTGACAGAGGGTTTCACACCGCATGACTTTAAAATAAGAAGAATCGCAGACAACTTTGTCCAAAATATGTCTCATAACCAAACACACGAAAAGTTAAATAGAAACCATGCGAGGTCATGTAGTCTATATTGTGTTCATAACTGCACAATGAGAAGGAAGCCTTTTCTGGGGTAGGAAATGTACTTATTTGGCTAACCTGACCTTTAAAGGGAATTAGCAATTTCTCCTAAACTTTTTTGTTTCAACCCAGTTGTGATATTGCTCAGACGACTCGTCAAACAGACACTGGTGCTCCTGCCAAATTTAATCTAGTTTTTCTTCCATTTCTTCGTTCCAAATAGACTGAAAATAAGCCCTTTTAACTTCTCTCCCATCCTCTCTGGCCTTCAGATACTTATACTAATGGATGCTGCTCTCTCATTGGCTGTAGGTGATCGCCGATGTTATTTTCAATTAGAGCACATTTCACTCGGCATGATTTAAATCACCGACAGGTCCACATATTTAGCATACCAAATATCTGACAGGTGTTGACCACTCATCTGCAATTCTCTCAGATCGCTTCTTTGATAGTTCATACTGTGTAATTGTCACTCACATGACTGAGCACCGATTTGCCTGTGATTTCAGGCAGTTGTCTGCAATTTCTTAAAACCTGTTGGCGAAAATCGGGGAGAAAATCATGCAGTCTGAACTCAGCATTAGTCAATGGTAGTACTGCATTAACAAATATTAAAGTGTTACAGTTACACTGAATCATTAACTAAAAAGACTAAAAAAATAACAGAAAGTGTCAAATATAATCAAATAATTTCACAATATTCAATTCAATGAATACCAGCATTGCTTCCCTACTTCATTGTTAAAAGTTTGATCTAATTTTATATTTTAGTTAAAATTTGTTTTTGTTTTTTTGTGGTTTATTTGTTAATTTTACTTTTAATTTACACTAAACATTCTAAACCCTTTACTAATTTTCATACCTTTCAGATTAAGTAAAAAATTTAATACTGTTTTTTGCCGATTTTTGTTTTACAGCATTTTTTGTAGGTTCATGGTTTTAGCTTTTGTTCAAATTATATTAAAAGATTTTTTGTTTTAGTTTTTATGGGTTTAGTTTTAGTTAAATGATATGAAATAAAATGATATAAGCACAGTTTGATGGCATTTCAGAATTGACATTTAAAAAAACATTGGTTGTTTATTCTAAAGTAGACGTGGGATCATTTCGAAATGGATGTTTTCCGGAAGGCATCAGATTGCCTGAAACGTTATTAAGAAATGGGAAATATTAATTTGTCTGGAATGTTGAATCAGTAACACAGAACATGTATTTATCTTTTCTACGCTGATATTGGGAGAAATTCAGTTGAATAGATTTGAATGTGGTAAAGTGCGTAAGCTGAAAGCTCGGAGTACTCTGCTCTTACTGAAAACATTCTTAAATTAGCCAAAAAATGCAATAAACAAACACTCGATGATCAGAGCACGCGAGGAGCTTTGTATATAAGAGTCACTCCGTGATTCACCACTTCCCGTTCTTTTTCTCACTAAACCTTTTTCCAAAACCATTCTAAGGTCACCCTTACAAATCTGGCTGTGTTCTTCTCTACACAGCTTTGTTTTCGCTTAACATTTTAGCTTTAAATACTGTTCTGAGAATAATTTACGCTCTCAGAGCCTCGGGACACGCTGTTCCTTCTTGTGTTTCTGCTGAAGTGATAAGAAAACGATCTAGGTTTCTGCGTTCAGTTGTTTTGTGACCGGATGATGGTTGACTTTAAACCTTCAGGACAGGATTCATCTCATATTTCAGCCGGAAGATTCATCACTTTGGAACTGGATGTGGCTGCTTTTTATTTATTGTGCTTACAAATGTCATCTGCCCAGGGGGGGAAGAAAGAAGGTGAAATGCGCATTTTGTGCCTCCCACGCAAGACTCGAATAATGACATGATGGGACGTGTTGTGAAAATCTCATTTGCTGTTGATATCGCACGCATCTGTGGTAAAACCATGGCACATTCAGCGTAGAAATCTGACTTCCCATATAATCATTCCATTGGTTTACAAACTGTGTCATGAAAGTGAATGCAGGATTATTTATTTTAATATCTCATTGTCTAGTTATTCATATTCAGACATCTCACAATTGAAGGTGGAGTTCACCCAAAAATGAACATTTCGTCGTTATTTACTCACCCTTTACCTGTGTCAAACCTTTTATGAATTTCTTTTTTCCGCCGAACACAAAAGGAGATATTTTGAAGAATGTTTGACATCCATTTGTTTTTCTTACTGTGGAAGTCAGTGGTTACAGGTTTTCAGCTTTCTTTCGAAATATCTTCTTTTGTGCTCAGCAGAAGAAAGAAAAGCATAAAGTCTTGAAATCATGCAAGGGCGAGTAAATGTCTATTTTTATTTCTGGTGAACTACCCCTTTAAGCATTTGTTAAATGTCAACTGTTGAGTTTGAGCTGAGAATGTGAGGTCACTGATAGTACTGAACTGGGAAAACCGTATATATACCTGAAAGACTGGTTGTATGGTAAAAATAGAAGAAAAAAGTGTTACACTGCTCTTTAAATCCAAAATAAATGTTACCTTCAAACATTGCTCACTGTCTGTGGTTTGTACAGTTTGGAATGGCGTAATTATGATGTCAAAACTCAGTGATGGACTGAACAAAGGGTTTTTTAGTGATCTGTATATTTTCAGAGTATACTTTTAGAAATCTCATTACATTGCAAAGCATAATAATATACTTTTTATTCCACTGCAGAAAATGAGTTGTTCTTCATTGTTTTGAACGGGAGTAATAATCATCCTTTCAGAGACATGATAGCTGTGTTCAATTCACAAATAAGTTAAGTTAACCAGTTAAATCATTCACAAATCTTATTTAATGAATCTGCTATGATTTGAAACGATCTGATGTTTGGAATCAGCAATTGATTCAAATTATCATTTAGGAGCAAGCGAGTCTCCA